CCAGCAGGGTGGCTGGGAGCGGCCACTGCACTCCAGTCTGGGAGACAGAGTGAGACTCCAACTCAAAAAAAAAAAAATGTTAGACTTATCTTGGATGTATCTACAAAGCCAATAAGTCCATAATGTTTTATGAAGAAAAAAAATTATTGTTATTTGTCTCTCCAAAAGCAATGATAACAGTAACAATGACAGATAATTCAGAAGCAACTAGCATTTTAGGATAAATTATCCTTTATCTTTCAAAAGTTTGATTTCCAGGAGAAATCCAGGAAATTCAGGTCACTTTCAGCATTAAGAGCTCCTGATTCAATCAGGCATGGTGGCTCACACATATAATCTCAGCACTTTGGGTGGCCAAGGTGATAGGAATGCCTGAGTCCATGGGTTCAAGACCAGCCTGGACAACTTGGCAAGACCTCATCACTACAACAAATAAAAAAAATTAGCTGGGCGTAGTAGCATGTGCCTGTAATTCCAGCTACTTGGAAGGCTGAGGTAGAACGATCGCCTGAGCCCAGCAGGTCACAGCTGCGGTGGCCGTGAGCGTGCCACTGCCCTCCAGCCTTGGTGACAAAGTGTGACACTCCAACTCAAAAAAAAAGAAGTCCTGATACACATTTAATTTTTTTTAGCAACAATTCATTGGGATGAAACAAACTATCCAAAAGAATAGACCATCAAGACATAAATGCAATATGTTTTTAAACACATTTTCTAACCTATTCTTTACAAACGTATACATGTAAAAGGCAGAGATTAATGAATAATATAGCGACTTCCACTGCACTTATTCCTAATGCAGCATTTATATCACCAAAAAGAAGTTCCACGGATTTTGCCTCGCCCATCCATCAGTTATAACTAGCAGCTGACAAGCACGGTCGCTGAGACCAGAAGAGAGAAAAACACATTCACACCATTTAGGCTGGCCACTGGAACTGCCAATTTCAGCGAAATGCTTTGGACAATTTAATGACCTCCTTGCCGCCTGTCCCATCCTTCTCCCTCTTTCATAACAGCTTTTGATGGTTATGTAGAAACTTTAGCTAACTTTAGTTCTTTTTCAAAGTACCTATAATAATTTCAGAGAGCCGAACAGACATGAATATAAATTTCATTCCTGGATAGGATCAGAAACGATCGTTTTCTTTTCCTCTTGAGAGACTACCCTCTCATAAAGCAAAAATTCCTTAGAGGGATGACAGAAAACTATAAAGGTTTATAGCCAGAAGAGCTTCCCTCTCTATCGACAAAGAAAGATAGATGCGAACTTGTGAGGCAAGTTTAAAAGACTCTCACTGAGAAAAGAACTGCTGTCGCCGATGTTGGCTACACAGCCCTTCTTTAAATGTTTAATCCAGAACAAGGCTTCAAGTTCTCAGAACACCATGATGAGGGGGCAGCAGGGAACAAGTGACAAACACAAGGGCGAGTCATTCCAAATGAGAATCTCATTATTCAAAGTAAGCTTCATTCATCCTGACCTCAGTGAGAGACCCCAAAAGCGGGGACAGTTGCAGGGATAGCCATGCATTTAGGATGGCCACAAGAACAATCCAAAATGGATTCAAGCTCTCCTGGAGTACACTGGTGTCTACAGCTTTCATCTGACTGAACGAAACTGAATTCATTAGACCAACAAAGCTTATAACAGATAACCCCTCATTTCAAGCCCTTTATAGGCTCCTGGAAGAACAGGGCACCATTTTCTCAAGCACCCAACATAACTGTGGTTCACAACACTAAGCATGAGAAACGCTTCATTGTTGCGGCTATGCTTATACTTTTCCTTAACCATAAGACTCCAAAAAACCTAAGAATTTCTAGCAGGAGTCCTTAACAATTATCTGCCAGTCTATCTATTATATGATACAGACTAAAGTCTATCTAGGCCAGCGAGGTGACTCACATCTGCATTCCCTGCACTTTGGAAGACAGAGGCGAGAGGACTGCTTGAGCCCAGGAGTTAGAGACCAGCCTGGGCAATGGAGCAAGACCTTGTCTCTACAAAGTACTAGCCGGGCATGGAGGTGCACGCCTGTAGTCCCAAGTATGCGGGTGGCTGAGGCTGGAGGATTTCTTGAGTCCCGGAGGTCAAGGCTGTGGTGAGCCATGATCGTGCCAGTCCATTCCAGCCTGGATGACAGGGTGAGGCCCTGACTCAATTAATTCATTAATTAATTAATTCTAAAAAGTAAGTCAGTCGATCTAAAGCTTATCCATCATGTGAGTTTAACAAGGGATACACTTTCAGCATGAACACTCTTAATTCTTCAAAGAGACCACTGCGTGCACTTTGGCACATGTTCAGTTAATTTCTCTAATTCGACGGAAAGGTCAGAGAGGGCCCTCCGTGGTCAGAATTACAAATATTTTCTTCTGGAATCAAAAGGAATTCGCCTCCACCTCACCAACTCATGCCTTGGATGACTAGTAGTTTCATAGAGAGCAGTTTAGACCTTGAACCAGGAACATAAAGTAGAGGAAAGAGCATTCCAAGTGTCTGCAGCCAGTATACAGGAAGAAACTGCCCCTTGCTAACTTCAGGCAGGATGTGCTCATGCTATGACTGTCATCCACCTAGCCCTGCCTAGAAGTTGCTCTCTTGATAATGAACTTGCACAGAAGTATTTCCCACTGCCTTGCCACCCAGTCACAACCCTGTAATAATACACCTTCTTCGGCCAAGGGGGGAACAACTCACCTAATAATGTGTCTCTAACAGAATAGTAATGGAGCCACACAAAGAAATCATAAATGCTGCAGTTGGCGATCTGAGGCTGGGTCCGATTGGGCCCGAGCAGGCCCAGCCAGTGTTGCGTGGTGATCACGTAGTCGGGGTGGACGCTCTTCTTTGCCACGTCCAAGGCCGCCAGGAACTGCTCCCTCTCCTGAGAAGTCAAGGAATGGATATTCTGCCGTGTGACAGGTGGTTTCTTCCGATCACAGCTGGGCCCGGTCCAGCCAAACTTGCAGTCTCCACAGTGATAGCCCGCGAAGTTTCCTAGTTTAGAAAACGGAGAGAGATGGGAGAGGGATTGGGTTTATGCAGCTTGGAAGAAATTTCTGAATGTGTGTGCTGTTGTTGGAATGGACAAGAAATGAAGGTCCTTCCAAGAAGGCAGGGAAAGTCCATTTCCTTCCCTGGGTCTCCACTCAAATGTTTATCTCTCCAAGTGGACTAAGCCCTGGAGAGGTTCCTAGAAATATTCCCAGCAAGCCAAGTGCGGTGGCTCAAGCCTGTAATCCCAGCACTTTGGGAGGCGGAGGCAAGAGGATTGCCTGAGCTCAGGGGTTCGAGACCAGCCTGGGCAACATGGCAAGACCTCATTTCTACAATAAATTTAAAAATTAGCCGAGCGTTTTGGCACATGCCTGTGGTTCCAGCTACTTGGAAGGCTGAGGTGGAAAGATCACCTGAACCCAGTAGGCTGAGGCTGCAGTGACCTTGAGCGTACCAGTGCACTCCAGCCTGGGCGAAAGAGTGAGACTAACTCAGAAAAAGAAAAGAAAAGATATATTCCCAGCAAAGATGCAGAATGTGAAATGTACCATATGCTGTCATGAGCTAAACTGTGCTCCACCCCCCCAAAGTCCCAATCCCAGTACTTTAGTTTGTAACTGTATTCGGAGATAGCTTCTTTAAAAGTGTAATTAAGTGTCAATGAAGCCATTAGGGTGGGTTCTAATCCAGTAGGACTGGTGTCCTTAAAAGAAGAGGAAAATGGGCAGGCGTGGTGGTTCACACTTGTAATCCCAACACTTTGCGGGGTAGAGGTGAGAGGATTGCCTGAGTCCAGGTGTTCAAGAACAACCTGGGCAACTTGAAGAGACCTCATCTCTACAATATATCAAAAAAATTATCCAGGCGTGGTGGCGCACACCTGTGGTTCCAGCTACTTGGAAGGCTGAGGTGGAAGGATCGCCTGAGCCCAGCAGGTCGAGGCTGTGGTGGCCCCGAGCATGCCACTGTACTCCAGCCTGGGCAACAGAGTGACACTCTGACTCAAAGTAGAAAAAAAAAAAAAAAAAGAGAAGAGAAAATTTGGACCCGGTTGTGGAGGGAAGACCATGGGAAGACAGATAAAAGATGGCCATCTGCAGGCTGTGGGGAGACCTCAAGGGACACCGCTATCCACACCTGATCTCCAGCTTCCAGGCTCTAGAACTTTGAGAGGATAGATTCCAGTTGTTGAGTCCACCCAGGTTTTGCTTTTTTGCAATAGCGGTCCTGGCAGATTCACATACATGTTCTCCTTCCTCTCACGATGGCAGGGGTATCCCTTCCTATGTCCACTCCATCCCTGACCTGGGACTAGGAGGTCTCTGGGCATCCGTGCTGCTGAGCCCTGCTGTTTTTTGTGGCACCCACAACAGGGTTGACATAGAACAGTTTTTGATTTAGAGAGGGAAGAGAAGATACACCAAGTAAAGAAAGAACCAAAATAAGTACATAAATAAGCTGATTTCCAGGAATTTAGGTGCAACCTCCCATTTAAAAAGCTGGTGTATTTCACAGAGGAGACAGTGCTAAGGCAAAATCGATGGGGCTGGCAGGTCGTTAAGGTGAATTAGATGCCACTCTGTCAGAAAGCACAGATCACTGCAGGGTTTCCTGTCGACTGTACCAACATCTGGCTTTATCAGAGCCCAGGGAATGAGTACAGGACTAATAAGGTCCAGCTCTTGGCAGCTCCCAGATTAGCATCTAAAGTTTACATTATTTTTGCTGGACTCAGTGGTTCACACTTGTAATTCCAGCACTTTGGGAGGTGGAGAAGAAAAAGATTGCCTGAGCCCAGGAGTTTGAGACCAGCCTGGGCAGCTTGGCGAGACCTCATCTCCATAATAAATTTTTTAAATTAGCTGGGTTTGGTGGTGCATGCCTGTGGTTCCAGCTACGTGGAAGGCTGAAATGGAAGGATCACCTGAGCCCAGCAGATCGAGGCTGTGGTAGCCATGATGGTGTCACTGCACTCCAGGGCGACAGAGTGAGACTCGGATTCTAAATTAATTAATTAACTTAAAAATTAAAATACAGTTTACATTATTTTAAGCTGGTCCTGGACCTTCTCATTCTTAGCCTTTCAGACTATTGCTTTGGGTATCACCAGTCCCTCCTTCCTTAGGTGGTGATGCTTTAAAGAGTACAAGCTTAAGCTGGGCTCGGTGGCTCAGCCTGTAATCCCGTGCCTTTGGGAGGCTGAGGTGAGTGGATTGCCTAAGCCCGCGGGTTCGAGACCCGCCTGGGCAGCGAGACCTCATCTCTATAGTAAATCAAAAAATCAGCCGGGCATGGTAGCGTGCGCCTGTAATTCCGGCTACTCGGAAGGCTGAGGCGGAAGGATCGCCAGAGCCCAGCAGGTCGAGGTTGCAGTGGCCGAGAGCGGCCACTGCACTCCAGTCTGGGCAACAGAGTGAGAATTCAACTCAAAAAAAAAAAAAAGAGTACAAGCTTAAATATTATCGGAGTAAAAGATTGAACAAAAAGGAGGTAATAATCTCCTTTGAAGGGTTTCTAGGCCTGGCATGGTGGCTCTTGCCTGTAATCCCAGCACATTGGGAGGCTGAGGCGGGAGTGCTTGAGGTCAGGAATTCAAGACCACCCCAGGCAACACAGTAAATCCTTGTCTCTCCAAAAAGAATTTTAAAATTAACCAGGCATGGTGGCATGCACCTGTGCCTGGCTACTTGGGATGCTGAGGTGGGAGGATCACCTGAGCTCAGAAGGTCATGGCCACCGTGAGGTGTGATTGTCGTGATCATGCCACTGCATTCCAGCTTGGGCAACAGAGTGAGACCCCGACTAAAATTTTTTTTAAAAAGAGGCTGGGAAAGGTATCTCACCCCTATAATCCCAGCACACTGGGCAGCTGAGGTGCGAGAATTGCTTGAGGCCAGGAGTTCGAGACCAGCCTAGACAACACAGTGAGACCTCACCTCTAAAAAAGTAAAAAAAATTAGCAGGGCGTGGTGGTAAGCACCTGTAGTCCCGGCTACTCAGGAGGCTGAGGCAGAAGGATTGCCGGAGTCCAGGAGACCAAAGCTGCAGTGAGCCTTGATCGTGCCATTGCACTCCAGCCTGGGTGATAGAGTGAGACCCTGATTAAAATACAATGCAATAAAAATGTAAAACATTTAATGAGGGTGACCAGCTCACTCACTTTCCTCTTTCCCCTCCTCCCCCCACTCTTGTTAATTTGCCGTCCCTGCTGCCTGGAACACTTTTCTCTCCGCCTGGCAACCAGCTTCTCCTTCAAGCTTTATTATGGCTGCCCTACGAGGTCATCCCTGATTGCACACGACAGGGTTAGATGCTCCCACATACCCTGTAATTCTCCTTTCATTGAATTTATCACCCTGGCTGCAAACATCTCTACTCTTGTTTCAGCCCAGGTGGCAGTGAACTCACTACCCAGGCCTGTTCTGGGCCTTGAACAACAGGATTGTTTGTTGTGTGAATCAAGGAAGTGTCAAGCATGTAGGAGGTGACGCAATAAACATATACTTTCTCTTCCTGTCCTTGGGGGTTAGAGACAAAAGCAGTCCCTGTAAATTATCTTGGTAAATTGCTAAGTACCCAAATAGAGGCAAGCAGAAGTGCTGTGATCAAAGGAGAGAAAGTGTTATTGGGATCTCTGAAGGAAAAGAAAATTTTCCAATAGCATGAAAACAAGATGATGAACAAGAGAAAACGTACACCCAAGCACAGTGGCTTCTGCCTGTAGTCCCAGTTACTTGGAGGCTGAGGTAGAAGGATTGCCTGAGCCTAGGAGGCCGAGGCTCCAATGAGTCCTGATTGTGCCACTGCACTCCAGCCTGGACGACAGGGTGAGAGGCCTCAACTCAGGAAAAAAAATAAAAGAAAATATACAACCTCCTTGTTCTATTAACCCCATGTTTTTGGTGATTAAAGAACATTTCCTTCAGAATAGAGTAAGTCAGGAGAATTTTTAAAAATTCTTAATTGGTTATTTGGGCTCTATGTTCTTTGTAATATATAAAATATTCTACCTATCCTTACTTAACTCAATTGTATGAAAACATAAGTAAAAAGAAAAATTCTATTCCCAAGACTAAAAATCATGATTTTGAATAATCTGAGTTAAACATCAAAATGTGTGCTGATTGCTAATTGTGAAACTATTAAATACAAATTATTTTACAAATATTTATAGAGCAGCTACTATAACATGCTATGCAAGATACTTCAGGGTCCACAGAGCTTGGAGTCTATTTTCCCTGGGGCTATCTTACTGAAGTTCTATAATATCTCTCTTTTTTAGCCGGGGTCTCACTCTGTCACCCAGGCTGGAGTGCAATGGCACTATCACAGCTCATTGCAGCCTTTAACTCTTGGGCTCAAGTAATTCTCCTGCCTCACCCTCCCGAAGTGCTGGGATTACAGGCGTGAGCCAACCCTGCTGGCCTAGAATATCTATTTTCAGAACAGCTTTAATTAAAGCATCACCTACTCTGGCAATTTTTATAGGAATAGAGCATTTTTGAGAAGCAAGTGAACAGAATACTGTGTCTAAAGAATAGTAACTGCCAAAATTAAAATTCACTCAAACTTCCAGCTCTTATTTGTAGTCTGCTGATTGGAAGAAAATGCATAGTCACTTGTCTATAATAGGAGAGTAATTGCTTGCTTCAAATTTTTAAAAAATTTGGGTGATAGTAATATGTCAGTGTAGATTCATTGATTGTATAATAAAGGTACTCCTCTGGCAGGTGGTATTGATAGAGGATAATGGTAGAGTGGTCCTGAACATATATGGGAACTCTCTAGAACTCTCTACACTTTCTGCCCAATTTTGCTGTTATCCTAAATTTGTTCTAAAACATAAAGTCTCAGCTGGGCACATTGGCTCACGCCTGCAATTCCAGCACTTCTGGAGACCAAGGCAGAAGGATTGCTTGAGCCCAGAAGTTTGACACCAGCCTAGGCAACACAGTAAGACCTCAGCTCTACAAAAAATGTTAAAAATAACCGAGTTTGGT